GACAGCAGGAGCGGTGCTGCTGTCAGTTAGGCGGTCGGAGAAATGGGAGACCCAGGGTCGGAGGTGAGTAGGCGAGTCGCGAAGGGTTTTGTGTTTTGTTGGGTGTGAGGCCTGGTGCTCTTCCGCGGCCGCGGGGCGATCCTCTCAGCGCCTCGGCCGAGCCCGGCGGCAGGGGCCGTGCAGGTCTGAGCCAGGAACCAGCAGCAACAATGGCCGCCCGGCCGCCCCCGGCCCCAGCGCTCCTTGTTGTTGCTGCAGCTCGGCCGACGGGCTTGCTCTTCAGTAGCGAGCCTGCCTCTCTCCTTCCTGTGCAGATGGGGGAATCCGGAGGGGCCCGTAACTGGGTTTGGCCGCCTGGTCCCTGCGGCTCCACGTATGCAGAGGCATAATCCGACTCCATCGAGTTCTGTTCTTAGTCGGGTTTGCGTGGCAATGTGCCGTTAGATTTCTTTTAAAGCTCTTCCTTTTTCGTTCCTTTGGGGGAAATCGCTCTCTGCAAGTACGCGGCCGTATAGATAAGCGTGTTTTGGCTTATTTTTGTAGATAATAGAATCTGTCCCTCCAGCTGGGCCTGAGGCATCTGAGTCCACCACGGATGAGAATGAAGATGACATTCAGTTTGTTAGTGTAAGTAGCAATGATATTCGGGTTTTTCCCAGAGTCCAAGACTGCGTGGTAAGCGATTATGTGACTACACCTCACCTGTTCATTCATCGTCCAACAAATATGTACGCACGTCTCTGATGAGGACGAGACAGTGTGGAGCATGGCATAGGGTTAGAAAACTGAGCAACCACAGTGGCCATCACAAAGACTACTAGCCAAGGTACATGTTGTACACTTAAATGGCCTTCATGTAGAGCCATTTTATGCTCAGTCTGTGCAAAGTCTGGTCTCTTAAGACTGTATGTTGAAATGGTGCAAAAGTATCTTCTGAGAGATCACACACAGGTGAGGGAGAAGGGACAGCTAATGCTGAGAAAGGAGGTAGAAAACAAAGGAGGGTTGTAAGAACTCAAGACCCGAGTATTATGTAGCTTCATAACATTGGAGGCAGGTAGCTTGAAGGTCTCACCAGTGTCTGACGTCATGATGTTACAGCATAGTACAAGTGATGTTCATAATGAGGATCCCTGCATCACCAGGAACTTGCTGTATTTTCTGTTTTTATTCCCTTTGAGACAGTTTTCAAGCATTAGTAAGTGTAGATTCCTGGGCCTCACTCTGGACCTATTGAATCAGAATTTGAAGGTGGGGCTTAGGAATCTTCATTTTGGAAAAATTAAAGAACAGACAAATCTCCAAATCACACTTTTTAAAGCATTGGTTTAGGGGGAAAGTGGGTATGATAAATGTGGGATGATTTTCACCCCAAACTGTTTTGACAAGGGCTGTGCTTGGAGAATACCTCTACTCTAAAGTACTCTTTGAGTTCTATAGTTGAGGTTTGCTAGTAAAGGTGTCTTTGAGTGTCTGTCTGATGTGTATTTGTGTTGGTTTGGGGGCAACTTTGTAAAACTGGTTATTACACAATATCCTATGATATCACAACATTAGGATCATTGTGGTGATCCATTGTTGTATTGTGTTCTAATGGGTTTGTGTAAGCATCTTCCATGAGATCGTTTTGTGGCTTTTTCTCCAGTGCTAGTGTATATGGTACTCTTTTTCATTTTTAACTTTTAAGGTTTTGGGTGGTGGGGAGGTTAGAAGGATTGTATCCTGCCCCCAGTCACTAGGGACTGAAGTATATTTGGTAAAAGGATTCCAGGGCTCTTTAGGACTAATATTTCGTTCTTCCTGAGTATTGATATATTTGTAGATGGAGAGTATTTATCTTGATATTTTATGCAAATGTAAGTAAGAATGACACACAATTTTTTGTGAGCTACAGGCTTACTTTGAAAGTCACAGATGGAATCTATTAAAATAAGATTTGAAAAATATTTTTTTGGTTACTCTGGAATGAAGAATTGTAGCTTGTGACTAATATAAACTTGAATTAAATTGAAGTTTTAAAAACTCTTTAGGTTTTATTTTAAATGTAGAGAATCTCTTATATCTTTCATCTAGAATAAAAAATATACAATCACTGTTTTGTGTATCCAGTGTGATACAACATCTTATATTTATCTCAGTTTTCAAATACAGGTTCAAAGGTTTGGTAATTCTAAATGGAGAAATGAATTAAATGTATCAAGTGTAATTACAGTACTAGAAGAAACCTATTAAAAATATTCCCTCTACCTTTTTAGTGATAACACTTAAATGACAATGATACCTTAATTCTATTTTAAAATACATTTACAAACGGAATCTTCTACTTCTTTCTGTGACCCAATTTTATAGTAGTTTCCTCCAGGTAATGTTTATCCAGTAAAGATAACAAACAATTCCCTGCTTAAGATTAATCCAGATACAAAAAGAGCATTATGATGTCATTTCTTGATTTACTCTGGTTTGGATTTCTTAGTTTGCTGTTAATTAATTTAATTTTCTCATTTTTGATCTACATGATAGCACATCAGTCTCTCTGTGGTTTGCAAAATTCAGAGTCCAAAACTAAACAGCATGCTGAAGGAAAGGAAAAATACAGATGTGGAAGTCCAAAATGACCTCTTTCGTTTATATTTTATTGAAATAAACGTAGAACACAATTCATAAGTGTACCATTGACTTCTGCAAAGCCAATACACCTGTGTAAACAGGGCTCAAGTCAAGAAACAATGTTACCATAACAAAACCTTTTCATTTAGGTCTTTTTCTTTCGTTTCCTTTTCAGTTTAGTAATGTGGCTCATTATTCAGCCATCTTTATGTCTTTCTTTGAAACTGGGTATTTTAATATACTCCCAGAAAACTCTTTAGCCTAGGAGCTGATGACATGATTTTTCACAGTGCTACTCTAGATACAAAGGTATAAGAACTGCTAAGGCAACCTATCATAAACTTGAGAACAGCACAGCAGATGAGATTTAGGTTTCAACCAAGATTATTGGTTTAATGTGGAATCATTGAATATGTGAAAATAGTGAAAGAAATCGAGGTTATCATTTCATAAATAACTTGAGCACACAGGCCAAGTGGTAATATTTTACCTGCACTAGAATAGGTCAGAGGCAAAAAAATTAGGAAGCTTTTGTCTGGGTGTCTTAGGACTATAATTAGCTTAATAAAAATGATGTAGGTGCTCATAATATGCAAAGTCATGAATTAAGTGCCTTAGAGCTACAAATATTAATTGAAAATACATCCTATCCTTAAATATCAGTATTTCAGTGTGGGAGATGAAATAGGAGATGAGAACTGTGTAAACAGTTCTAGTAGAAAGTTCTTTACATGGTGCTATCACACAAAAAAAACCCAAAAAACCCTTCTGTTTTCATAGGTAGCATTTAGTATTTGTATGTGTTTAAAAGGTCATATTGAGAATTAAGGAAAGGCATCAAATTGGGAAAGCAGGATTTTGTGTAGTTCTAGAAGATAAGATTTTTTTCAAGTGGGAAAGGAAAGGATGGGCCAGGTAGTATAGATCTTGAATTGTGGACTAAATTTGAACTTACAGTAGGCAGTTGTGAATCATTTGAAATTTTTGAGTTGGGCAGGACTGCAGAAGTAAACTCTGTCCCTAATGTCTCTGTATGGGGGGGAAAAAAACATGAATTATTTAGGGTTTTAGATTAGATTTTTGCATCTGTGGTTAAATCCATATTCATTTTAGACTGAGGTAAACTTTTTTTTTTATTTTTTGGTATACCGTATCTTAGTGTATTGACATCACTTTCTAGTTAGTAGGCAATTGGTGTTTTGATTTTGTATGAGAATCAGTTTTCTAATAACAGGAATGAAACCTTTGTTTAAAAAAATTTTTTTTAACTTAGAATATTAATTCATCTGTGTTCCTAATCTTTTTTGCTTCTGCCTTTGCTCCTGCCCCTGAATTGCGTGGCCTTGGAAGTGGAATCCTTTGATTTTGTTATTGGTTCAAAGGAGATGAGAAGGATGGTTTACTAGTTGATGAATGGAGCAAATTCAAATTAAATACCTTGTAAATGGAGGACTAGATGCATTTATACTTGTTAAGGACATAAGCAGTCATAAATATTATCAGAAATTATTTCTTCTTGGTCTTTGTATTATAAACATTACTACTTTGGGGGAGTTAACATTTTGGTCAGTGTTATGAGTTATTCAGAGTTGGGGATAATAGCAGGTAGTCCTTTTTCTCTTATTGAAAAGTATGTTAAATCTCAGAAATTTAGGTAATAAGTGGATTTAAAAATAGCATGTATATTTTAAACTGCCTTAGAATTGCATGTGTAGCCAGTTATGTGTTTAGACAACCAGGTGTATCTCACTTAGTTTTCTCTTTTGTTAAATGGGATAATAGTAATAATTCAGTATCTCACCTTGTCAGGTAATTGTGGGGATTAAATAAAATCATGTGCGTGAAAAGATTAGCACAATCCCTGTACAGGGCAAAATGACAAATGTTATTGATTAATAGGAAAATAAATGGAGTACTAAAATGTTTTGATTCTCTCATTGTGGTGGAAGTTTTTCTATATGGGATACTTCTCTTATTTTCCCACTCAACCTTTTTGGAGGGCTCAGACACTTGCTATCTTCTTCTACCATTCTGTCACTTAGAATTCCGTAATTATTTGCAGAGTGAATGAATAAGTAGTATAAATGACTCCTGCTGCTTCTCACTTTTGGATTTTTTATCCTGACTTGTTTTATTCTTCTTAATTAGTGTGAATTATATGAGGTTGCTGTTGTTTAGCTGTGCATATCAGTCCAGTGGTTCACTCTAATAGTAAATTTCTGGTAGTCTTCTCTCTTCTGTTTTTACTCCTGCCCCTTCTACTATTTCTAGATTTACTTTTTAATCCTATTTGTGACCATTTTCCTTATTCTGTTTTTTCCTGCCCATTCTACTTTTTGCTTTGTGCCCTGCTACTTTCTTTCCTCTCCTTTATTTCTTTGCTATCTGTTCATGGAAGTTCTGTCCCTACCTCTGTATTTCTGGTAACATTGGGACTTTCTTGGTGTGCTATTTCTGTGGGCATGTAATAAAATTTTCTAGTGCACATTTCTTGAAGAGTGCACACTCAGGTAATTATATGAACAGTAGAAGCTATTTTTATCTCCTCTACTTCCTTCTTAGATTAAACATCTAATTTTGATAAGATTCTTAATACCAGTGGTAGGTTTTAGTCTTAAAGTAGGCGATGCATCTCTGTTGACCATAAATTGGAGAATATCTGTCCCTCTTTTCCTCTTTTTTAAACTTCCATTTTTATAAGCTTAGGCAAAAATACCAATTACTTTATTACATGATTCCTGCCCAGAAGTTTTGCTCTCTGGTTTTATCTTAGTGGCTGGATCACTGCCTGCAAGGATAGCAATTATCTGCTTGCAGAGAGGTTGTAGCAGGGAGAAACAAGCTGTCTTTGAGATTGGATGCTTCTTTCAGGAAGATGATCTTTAACTAGATCTTAGCTTCTGTCTCCAGACTCTAAGTTCTTTTTATGTTAGTTTTTCCACCAAATTGATCACTTTGGCTTGCCAACAGTCAGCTTTCTCTATCCTAAGAAATCTTTCCCTCAGCCATATTCTCCTCCTATGTTCCTTTCTCTTGTTCTCAACATACTAGATTTTTTTTTTTTTTAAAGAATACTCTCTACTCACGTCCTTTACTGCCTTACTTTCTACTTAATTTTTAGAAAATGGCTTCTGTGCTCACTACTTGACACTTGCTCTCTCAAAGGCATTTTAAATTCTTGTTGCCAAATTCAGTGGCATTTTTGTTTTGTTTTGGTTTTTGGCCACATTTAGCATTGATAACTTTTCATTGAGGTTTACTCTATCTTTCGCTTCTTTGAGTTTATGCACTCTTGATTCTTTTCCCAGTCTCTGATTACCTACATAGCTTTCTTCCTGAATCCTAAAATTCTCGCATTTCCTCAAATGCCTCCTTTAATCTCCTCTTTCTCCTTTTTGCTTTCTTCCTTGACTACATCATAGTTTCCATTTAAAGCTGCAGTTACTACTCTTTTAGAAAAGCTACTCCCAAATCTCTACTCTTAGTTATGTTTATACATCCAGATTACAGGCCTGCATTTCCAGCTCCTTGCCAAATACCTCTGCGTACTGCGGGCATATCACATCATTATATGCAAAAGAATATCAGCTTTGTGTTTCTGTATTCCAGATTTATATTAATGGCATTAGTATCCTTCTGGTTACCCAAGCTTGAAACCTTCGGGACCACTTTGACTTCTGGTTACTGTTGGGGTTTTGTTTTGTATTGCCAATCCCCCTCCCCCATTATACCCATGTATTTTCTTGTATATGCACCACAACACTACTCTTTCCATCACCACTATTTTAGTTCTGCATTATTATGTGTCTGGACTGGTTAATTATTCTGCTTTCCCCACTCTTTATACTTCTTTGTTTGATTAATCTTCTTAAAGCACAGTGCTCATAATGTTACTCCCATCTTAATATTTATTGATCCTCTTTTGCCTGTGGAATAAAATCGAGGCCTTTGAGCCTCAAGGCCTGGTTCATGACAGAGTCAGTATGGCTAGAAAGAGGATGGGGAAGAATCAGTTTTAATGTTTGACTCTGTAGAAGTGGGAGATAAAGCCAAGCTGTTGGTGAGAGAACTCTGTGATTGAACTTGGATATCTAACAAATCATTGGTACCCATCCCATTTGAAAAGCATTGAATCATAATATCTGTGTCCTCATAGCCTATTTCTGTATTAATAATCCTTTCCCCAAGGAATTGACATAGTCCTAATACTGTTACTGGGGTTTAGGCTCTTCCTTCTAGGTCTCATAATCATTTCTTATTCACATACATGCTCTGAATATTTTTCTCTGCATTCTGATTATTTTCTGCTAGCCATAGGCTTTCTCTTCAGAGGAGTTCTTGTCTGTCTCAACAAGCATGATTGTTTTAAATGTTAGTTTAGTTTAGTTTGAATAACTGTTCATGACGTGTTAATTTGCTCAATTCTTTCTTAGGAAGGACCATTAAGACCTGTTCTTGAATACATCGATCTGGTCAGCAGTGATGATGAAGAACCCAGCACCTCTCATAGTGATGTAAGTACATTATATTTGATTTGCATTTCTTGCTTCTGTCATTTAAGAGGTATTCTCTAAAGAGAGTTACCAAATCATGGATGACTGTGTTTAGTAGAGAATGGCCCATCTCTTTTAGAATGTCCATATAGGTAGTCCAAGGATTCCTTTGCCCAGAATATCTCCTACTTTCAGCTTTGTTCCTCTGCTGTCAGTGAGGATGTGAAAGGATGACATGACACAGGAAAGTGCTAAGCCCTGGGGGTGAATCTGATGAAAGGGAAATGGAATGAGAACTGCAAGCTTTTTGGCTCTTTGTGTCCTTCTCCTTTCCTGTATCTCTTCAGCTCCCTGTAGAACTGGACCTTTTTCATCCAGAACCATGTGGCCACAGAAAATTTGTTTTATCTTGGAAAAAAGGATATGTGAAGATCCTTTAGAAAATGGCAAGTAGGGAAGGGTTATAAGTGTCATATTACTTTAGTCGTCATATCTTTTACCCTCCTCTATCCCCCATATTTGGAGTTTTCTCTCTTACCTGTGATTTTTTTGGTTGTAGGTTTGACCCTTAAACTATTACTTGCCTTACTTTGAGAACCAAACTAGCCTAGCCCTTTGTAGCAATCTGGTCTTTCATTTGTTGTAGCCCAAATTGCTAGTAATGGGCTATTTTCTTGATGCATTACAGAACTCCCGGCTCTTGTTCAAGGATGCCAGAACCTTATGCTCTCTGATAATAGGGGCTTGAGACTTGGACTTGGAATCAAAATACCTAGGTTTTAGTCTCAGCTTTACTCCTTATTAATTCTGTGACTTTGGATAAATTAAGTAGCCTTTTAGCCTTAGTTTCATATCAAATAAGAATAGCACCTACCTCACAGGGTTGTTGTGAGGATGAAATGAGGTAACAAAAATATATGTAAGCTCTTTGAAAACTACAAACCATAAAGTAGGACTATGCACCTGGAAAGTTTTGTTATTCATGGAGAGCGAATGAGAGAATTTTTAAAGGGGCTTAAAAGTGATTCTACAATGGAGGACTTTTAGAAAAAACTTTTTGTTCTCAGTGGAACTTTCCCTGAGTTCTCTCTGCAATTATTAACTCCTTGTTGATTTAAATATGTTGAATTGTTATCACCGATGGTCTTACCACCTCTTCTTGTCCTAGCATGGGACCAGCCAGCAGCAGGCTAGGATGGCAGCACTTGTACTGGGCTTGTTTATACTCCCTTTTTTCAGAGACAGAGTGCCAGATTAATGCCATTAACTGGTATTGGGTCTTTGGGAAAGTGAAGCTTGTGGATTTGATTTTTGTGATCCTCTTGCTGACCTATAGTGGATTGCATCATTATTAATTATAATAATTTTTTAAAATTGAATTCTACTTACTGGACATGCATCTCTGCACTTGAAAGTTAACATATTAAAAGCATTTTTTTTTCTTCCTTGGTTTTCTTGTTCATGTGGATAACCCAGAGAATGCCTGAGTCTAAGGTGCCATCCTCTGAGAATCATCGCCCAGAAATGTGCTCTAGCTGCAGTGTTCCTCTTCCCATTGGAGACAGCAGCTCCTCTGGGAGTTGCACCAGCAGTCCACAAAGGATAGTTTCTCAACCTTCTTCTGTTGAGAACCCATTGGAGAACCAGAAAAATGATCAAAATAATTCAGATTTTAAGATCCCTGAGACAGAGACACTTAAACCATCACAAAATTATCAGAATCTGCCTTCATCTCCACTTCTGATCCCCCAAGAATCTTTGGCCTCTTCACAGGTCAAGGAGGATTTACCTCCAGAGTCTTCAGCTTCACAGCATGGACAGGATGCCATCCTCTATCTCCAGACACAAGTGGCTGAGATGTCCCGAGTGATACGTGATCTGCAGTCCAGGAGTTGTTTCAGATTTCATCATTCTAGGCCAAGTGAGAACTCCTCAGTTCCTTGGGACATCACCTCCAAGGAAGACAATTTATCCACAGTTGAAGAAGAAGCAGACTGCAAATCCCCCTCAGCTGATGACAAAGGGCAGCCAGCTGACCCCAGTCAGACTAGTTTCACAGGTCTTTTGAAGAGAATGGAACAGAGAGGTGTTATAAAGAGAGTAACATTGCAATCTGAAGCAGAATCGTGTGATGGGAAACCTGATTATGTGACCTCTAAAAAACGTTTGGTTCCTCCATTGCATCCTCTTCTGAGAATTGCCACCACTGAGGTTTTTAAAGACCCTGCTGATTGCCATCCTTCTTCTTTCATGGGACACAGGGTATATCCTGTGGCCAAGGATACCTCTCCTTTTCAACCAAATCCTCCAGCTGAGGGCCCCATTGTAGAAGCATTAGAGCATAGCAAAAGAGGAAGCGCAACATCTCCTCTAGATTCTACCTCAAAAGAAATGGAGGTCATGGGTTGTAGATTCTACCATGCTGCTTCCATTGCAGCCCGAGCTGCTAGCTACATGGCCTATATGACTCAGTATCAGCGTAAACTCTGGGAAGACATGGAGGATCTGGTCCATGACCCAGAGTTTGATCGTGGAAAAGCAAGATGTATAATATCTGATGGTATGGATGCAGGTCTTTGGCAGCTTTGTACTACTAGGGACATAATGGACTCTGTAGTCAGAGTTATGGCAATGGCAGTAGACTACAGAAGGCAAGCCTGGCTCCGACTTACATCTCTTACTAAGAAAACCCAGGAGAAGATCTCACACTTGCCCTTTGATGGCACTTCCCTCTTTGGACAAGATGTGAATGCTGTTGTTGCAGAAGAAAACAGTATAAAGGAAAATGACTATAAAGACCACAACAAGTACTATAACCAACATCGATACTTTTATAGTCATGATCAGAAAGCACATTATCACAATAGAGGCTACTCCAAAGGGGATTGGTACAAACCCCGAAACCACCCCTATAGATATAGAAAAAAGGGAGAATCTCCAGAACGTCATGGGTATAAGAATTAATAGCCTGTTGATGTCCAGCAGTATAGCCATCCGACATCCTAAGTATTTTACTTGCTCTTCCTGACTTAACCAGGATCTACAGGTAGGAGGTCATCTCCAAAACTGAATGCATGTCTGGAATTTCCACAGCTGTCATTTGAATTCTAGACTGTTGGAATGACGTATATAATAAAGCAAATTGTGCTTTATTGTCCAAGTGAGCAGTGGAGACTTTTCATCTAAGTAGGGTTGGACAAAGATTTACCCATTGTTTCTGGTTCAAAGTAAGCAGAGAGGAAGGTACTCAGGAATCTGAATCCTCTTCTGATTAAAGAAAAATATAAAGATTTGTTCCTTACGAAAATCTTGCTGGTAAACTGAGGACTAGCAGATTGTGGGTCTGGAAATAACCTACTACTTACTAGATCTCTTTAACATGGAGGCAAATCCTTCATTTTTATGTCATCAGTGCTTCCTTGTTCAGGTTTTGCTTGTCCGATCTTCACAAAATGACAAATCTGTTATCTCTTTATATCAGGATGATCAACTCACTGAGTCCATACTACTGAAGCTCTGTGAGACTTCAAAATCAACCATGAAGCTGTATATCAAGAACTGGAATTCAAATCAAATTTTGCCAAATCCAGTTTGCTTCCAGTGGCATAACTAGATGTCACAGGTCTACTGTGGGCACCAGCTGGAAAAAGACTTTCCTGCCTGTAATTTCTTTAGAAATTTCACAGTAACTATTTTCATCAAGACTGATTGCTATCATACCATCACCACTCCAAGTTATATATGAGAGAATTCTTTGTTGTTATCACTCATAAGCCTTCGACCTATCAAACTCATATCAACAAGCTGGGAGAATCAGTAATGGTGTTCTCTCAGGATAATCTGGACCTTTCACCAAGATGACCTTCTTAAACCCACCTTCTAAACAGTAAACTTTTTGAACTTGACAAATTCATCACACTTTAAATACAAAAGAGATATGTACATTAGTGCCCTGGAAATAAAGGATGTTGTTACACCATCCAGGCATGCAAATCTGAACTCTTAAAAGAGCAAGAATTCCAAACATGCCTGACAATCCAGTCCTCTTACTGTAATAAAGAGGGATGCCCTCAGTTGATGTTATTGAGAAATCCGTAAGATTTAGAGTATAACTGTGGATGTAGTAAAGGGAACATCTCACACAGTTCTGTTTCTGGATATCGATTTAAATGGTGATATCCATTGATTTCTTAAAAATCTGAAATCAAGACTTCAGTGACATGTTCTTGGTTTATCGGTCCCTTAATCTAGTCAGACTTTTACCATGAGAGACGACTTACTTTGGTTTAATTAATAGTTCTCCACCATCCTGGATCTAGCAGCAGATACCTCAGTGATATGTCCCACAGTATCTTTTTAATCTCAAGGCAGTGGCTGTACTGTATACCAGCCCTTAGATCCTTGTCTTCGCAGCACGACTTCAGAAATGGAGAAAATTGTCAAGTTTGAGGGATCTGAATACATGATGTAGTACTTGCTTGTCAGCCAAACTAGTTTTTTTTTTATTGACAGACTTAAAATTCTGTAACTTGTTTGTCAAACATCTCCATTTTTTTATCTGCTTGATCAAAGTATTTGGGTCTACTGTTAGTGGATTATAACACCGTTTTAGGATTCATGTGTTTCTTCTTGCCATCGTTCTTGCACAGTGGTGATTGACAGTTTCCCTGGTGCCCCACTTTTTAAATAGTTTATTGAAATCTCATTCTTCCTCCCCATCATAACCATATTCAGCACCATATCTGTGCTATAGAGGTTGAAGAGGCAAATATCCCTACTTGGAAGAAGTTATTTTCTTAGATACTTTGAGGGTACTGTATTGGTCCTATTTGTAGATTAAGCTTAAACTACCGTCTTGATAGAGGAGATCATCTTGCAAATTTGGTCAAGTCATATCTACAGTTAACATATACCTTTATTTTTTTGAATTTCCACAAAGTTTTACTTCTACTTATTTAGGTCCGTGCCAGTGCTATAGTAACTGTCTTCCAAATTGAACTCTAGAAGAGCATTGATTAACTGCCTGTAAAGAAACAGGGGCCTAAGAAATCATATAAATATTTTTATAGTTCATGTGCCATTGACATGGGACTATAGTTTCTTCTGTGAAGGGACTAGTCACTGGAGAGAGAGAGACCTTGGAACTGTTCTATATGACTGCACATAGGTGTTCCAAATTAGCTAAGACTACTTCAGACTGTTCCCACTTTTCCATTTCTCTCCTTTCCTTCCCTGAATTAAATACTGGTTCACAAACTTAATCGTTTTTGAGGTACTCTTATTTTCCAGAAACCAAACCAAAATAAATGATGCTTGAAGATACGATTCTCTGAAACTGCTTTGGCACTTCTGCTTAACATGCTCCTCTGTAATTTTTCAATTTTTTAATTGTGGTTAAAAGAAGACAACATAAAATTTACCACCTTAACCATTTAAGTGTACAGTTCGCTAGTAGTGTTAACTATATTTGCATTGTTGTGTATAGCTCCTTTCTTAAATATTTCTAAAACAGCATTGCTATTCTCTTCCTCTTGTATTATGTTGCTCAGTAATAAAGCTGAAAACATTGCTTTATCACTCTCTAATTGATATGCCCGAGCGTCTCCATAGGATTTACCTGAAAGTGAAAAGGTATTGAGAAGTTATTGAATTGATGATCAAGGAGGTAACTTCTGAAGGGATTTAACTTTTGAGTGGGGGTAGGGACAAAATGCTATAGAGTTGGGACAGTTTTTAGCTATAGATTAGTTTCTTGACTACAGAAGAAACATCCTTAACCTGTTTGGTTTTTATTATTTTTAAAATCTTTCTCTGGCATACTTGAATGATGATGGTGTTATAAAACTGAAAATGAGGACTTGGTCTAAGGAGACAACCCCAATAACGTATGGAACTCATAATTGGTCAGATGATAAGTTTTCATATTGTGCCTGCAATGTGCAGAGCCTGTAACAGAATTCTTCATTAGGCCAACCTCTTACATTTAAATACTTTTAGGTTTTCTAGGAGACCTTGAAATAATTGCAAATTTAATCATTTGGTGTTCTCAAAAGGAATGCGTCTTTAAAATGTTATTTCTTGACTAGACATAAAATGTATGTGGTCACATTATGATTTCTTATAGTTACTGTGTACAGAGAAATACTGTTTCCATTAATTGTTATACGAAGTGCCTTTTGAAATTTCACGCTATTGTTTAAAAGTTAACATTTTGATGTCTTGCCTATTGTTGCTGGTGATATGTGAATTTTGTACAGTTATTTTTAATCTTGCCGTTTATTCATTTGTACAATTAATTGCACTATCTAAATGTACTCTCCTTCTGAATGTTAGTTTGTTTTCTTTATAACACTGTTGATCCATTTCAGAAGGTTGTAGAGTATGTCCCTCCTTTATTTAATAACTTCACAGCAGTACATTTTAGTTAATAGTGATTGGCTCAATTTTGGGGGCATTAAGGCAGCTTTGTTTTCTATCTGTGGATTGTAGGCTTTCTCACTGAGTCGTTTGTCTCCTACCTAGCCATGGTAACACAACTTATATTTGATAAGTGTATGTGCTTACTTGGTAAAAAGAAACAAGGACATGAGGAAAAAGCAGTACATTTGCTGACACTTTATCTTTCTAATTTTTTTTAAGACTGTGACTGCTTCCCTATCATTGTAATTGCATTTAAACTTAAAAATTGTGTGGCAGCTTCTTTATCAGTATAATTTCATTATTTACTTAGCCCTCAAAATTGCATTTGAGGGGAGCATAAACTCTTTCAGCTTCTTGGATACTATATAGTATATTACATTAATACTGTACTGAGTGATCTGATTAATAATGTCCTTATAGTCCCAATACATCCAGGATAACCTCTCAGTTACTGTAAGCAAGGAGGTTGGAATAGACACAGTCCAGAATCCCTTCTAGCTATAAAATTGGATACAGAGTTAAATGACATGGATGAACAGAGTTAAATGCCACATTCAGTATTCTTGAGGATGTAATTAATTGGGATTCTAATGAGGGTTAGAAATTATGGATTAGATCTTTGTAGAAAGAATTTTAAAGATTGCAATAACTGAAAACTTTTTTTTAAAAAAAAGTGAGGCATATTTTGCCTGTGACTTGCACTGTTTAGGTTCCCTCATCTTTTGAAATTTACAATTTTTTACTTAATGTTAACTGCTACTCCAATAAATTGCTGTACATTTTATGTATGTCATTTGGTTGACCAGATCCATTCTATATAGATTTTCATTAGTGGATGCACAGACCAATCAATTCTTCATTTTTCACTTAAATATACAGGTGGAAGTAAACTGATGATGATCACTATATTGAGTGCAAATCTTTTAGTTATTTTTTTCAGCTAGAACAACTCTTGTAAGCCATTAAAATATCCTTTTATGGAATTTCCCTTCCTCGGTGAATGATGAGAATATTGTTTTATTAAATCTTTTTTCTCTTATTGACTAGTGGGATGATATTTTTTGTACTACTTTGTCTTTTATTTACTTGACTTTATATAATGAGAACTTTTTTATAGTAGTGTTTGATACCATTGAGGTATCTTACTACTGGAAATTATGTTTGCTTCCAGTTGGCTGTATTTGGAAGTAATCACAGTCCAACCATGTCCTATTGATGTTAGCATATCAGTTCGTTCTTTGTATTGATCTTTTCTTCCTCTTTATGTGACACCTCTTTCTAGAAGGATGGCTGATCTTCCCTTAATCTCTTTGATGTAGATTATATTTTTCATTCTACCCATATAAACTAGCCAGGATTTTGGTGTGGCTTTGTATTTGTGTATTTAAATACAATGCCTTCAGCATTATTGTAAGAGGTTTTCTAGTTTTCTCTGATAATGTCTTTAAAAAAAAAAATAGTAGCCAGTCCAGTCTCTTAAACTATTCCCTAGCTAGTCAACCATCAGTTTTTCATGCTTTCTTTAATGTTAGTAATATTTTCTCATTTCTACATGTTCTTCACACAAATGTATTATTACATATAGTTTATGGTCAGTTGCATCTTTTCTCTGTATAAAGATTTTAGGCCCTTCACCATGAATTTATAGTACAGCTCTGAGATGTACTGTATCTTAAAGTTAGCCAGTTTTCTCTAGGTCTTAAGGGCTTTACTGCTTTTGTTGAGATCAATTTCAAATGGTCTATTATCTGATGCCTTGTTAAGAATTCAACAAGAATTCTCAGGTTGTCTGTACTTTTAGGACTTTGGAGCTCTCTCAAGTTGTATTGAGTTTTCAGATATTCCTGAGTATGTTCCTTGGTAGTGGTGAAGTAAATGCTTTATATCTGGTAATAATTTTAAAAATTCTCCTTTGACCTTAAATACTCCAAGTGTTATGAGTTTTGTTAGTTGTCCTTTTATAAGACTAATTTTCATCTGCTATTTTTTCCCCAGGAGCTATCATATGCTTTCTGGTTTTTTCCTATGACCCATAAGAATGGTTCTATCACAGCATTCCATTTTAAGGGCTACAGTTAGACCTCTTGTTAACTCCTATTTTTTCTATGATGGCTGTGTTTCACGCTACCTTGAATTATAATGTAGTAATGTTCTAAACTAACTAGTAGGTTTTTAGTCCCTTTATCTGTACTGCTTTTAATTAGTGAAGCAACAATGATGTAAATGATGGGGAAAAACATCTTTTGAATCACCAGTTTCAAATTTTCAGTTTTATTTTTTTATACATGTTTATTTACACTAAGCTTCCTACTGTTAGGTGTGTAGCCCATTTCTTTCTGTCTCGGTTAAAATATAGTTATTTTGTAATTAGTCTCATTTAGAATCTTAGCACAGAGTTGCATGCATGTTGGTCTTTGTTTAATAGCTTGTAATAGCGCCTGTTTTACTTTTGACAAAAATATATTTTGACAGATCTTGGAAGCGCCTTGATAGCCTTGGGTCTGGTTGTCCTCTTCCTGCCTAGAGAGGAGAGAAACCTCATTTATAGAACTTCTATTTGCTAGGCTCTGTGCTAGTTGCAAGGTACTCTTGAAGTAGAAATGTATCCTTATTTTGCAGATGAGGAAATGAAATTTGCCAATAAGCCACCTGCTCAAGTGGTGGAACTGAGCTTTGAATATAGATTCTCGTCCCTCACAGTCTCAAGTGCACATCGCTCTAGGCCGCTGCCGTGTGTGTGTCACGTCTTACCTCTGATAAGCTAATTTGAGATACACTAATCTTTGTCTTCCATTTTACCTAGTAATTTTTGACAAATACTAATCTTTGATATATACTAAGCTTTCTATGTCTGTACTCTCATTCCTTAGTACTTGATGTCTTATATTAACTAATTCCTGGTTATTTTGCTTGTCAGATCAAGAACCCTAACCCTAAACCTCTCCCGTTGAGGTTTTACTGAGCTGGACTAAGATTATTCTTGATGTATAATCATTGGCTTCTCTTTCATATGTTGCTTATTTGCATTCCATTTATTTCAACACTGATTGTTTTAATCATGGTTCTTATTGCTTGTTTTTTTTCTTCATTCTACCTTTTTTGTTTGTTACACCCATTTTGTTTGAGATATACACTTAAACATTTTTTTTACTGGCAACTTGAGGATATTGGCATAATGAAAGGAAGGTGGAGTGATGCAAAGCATGTGGTATTTGAATTCCAAACGCCTTAATCTGAGTATTAGCATGTCACTTATTTTCTGAGCCTCCGTTTTCCTACTCTCAAATGAGGCAATGTCTAGAAGTACTTTGAAAACTCGAAAGCCCAATGTAGATGTTCTTTCTTTAGTAGTTCTGCTGTTTCTATCTATATTTGTAGATTTCTTGTAACTGTGGGATGGTATCCGATATAAATACAGATACATTTTAAGATGTATTTAATAGCATGTAATAGTTTCGTGTCATCAGATCATGTTCCCCTTGTTAACAGTTTTTAAGGCTGAGTTTTTTTGTTGCAAGCCCAGCAATGGACTAAGTCATTGAAAGACATTTAAAGTAGTCTCTCTTCTCAAGTGCAAGCTAAGAAATGTTAATAAACAAGAGAAAATAAAAGAATGTAGAATGAACAGCTAGGATATGTAGGTATGTGTATACAATTTTTGATGGTTGGTATTTTGTCATTTTGTGTCAGTGTTAGAAACAATTATCTTTTCATTTGTCAAACATCTTTTTCAATACTTGCCATGTGCAGGCAGGTACTGAGGAAGGTCTGGGGATACTGGGAGTTAAGAGAGTATATTAAGAGAAAGGAATACCAATACAATGTAATTATCCTGTTTAGAGGAATGCCTGTGATGAAGTTGGGACAAAAGAGGTCCATCTAGAGGGGTCAAGGAAGCCTTTTACTAAATTCTTGAGCTGAGGTTTGGAACATGATCAGAGAAGAGTTAGTTGGACTAGTGGAGAAACAGGAGCCAGGCAATGGGGTGAAGGAATCAGTATGTGCAAGGGTATGGGACCATTTTGTTTCTGGTTTCAGATTTGTAAGAAACGGCCTTTATGAGGCCAGAACTGGATATTAAACTGAAGAGAGAGGACACATTACCCATGAGAACATATTGCTTCCTACCTATTCAAAGTGTACTGTTTGTGTAACCTTTACTTACAAGGTTATAGAAATTGTCTAGAGGTTGGTTTGTACCATAGTCCACTATAGACATTTAGAGCAATTCTTTTTCTTCGTGAACTGAGCCAAAGGAGAGCTCTTAGTCAGTGCACCTGTAGCCCTAGGGACAGCTCAAGCATTGAAATGGAACTGAGGCACTGGCAGAAAATAACTGAAGATGAACAGGATGATGCCACTGAAGTGGAACATGACGTCTCGTTAGTAGTGTATAGTTGCAGACTTCAAGATTGCCTGTTGGCAGTGTGTCCTCAGAGTAGCTAGAAATGTGGGTACTTTCCCTGTGTGTTGGCTCACAGATCATTTGTAGGTGGACTTGGGGAAAATGAAGATGTCTCTAAAAATGTTGCTTCATTGGAGTTAGGAGGTATTTTATTGAAGGAAGGACCTGTGAACTTTGTGCTAGTGTTATCTCCAGCAGCACCCAAAGCACATTTTGTCAACTTCCTGTTTGTTTTTTCTCTGGTTTGAGTTTCTTGCTGTTGTTGCCACTTTGACTTCTCTCTGCTTAATTCACCCTTTTTTCTCGCCGTGCCAGAGGTGGACCAGTGGCACTCAGGATAAAAATGTTGTAACTCCTCTTTGACTTGCTTTATATTCTGAGGTATTTTTAAGTTCCAATGTTACATTTACTTATTTTTTGCCCTATACTGAAGGAGAATCAAAGTCATTCTTTATAGGAGGGGATTTTTATACATATAAGTATTGGCAGTTTACCCAAAAGGCAATACAGGAAGTATCTTATTTAACAGGCTCAGTGGTACTAGCCTTCTTAACCGACTAAATTACTTTACAGAATGGGGTATGTCTGTATGTATGTTTTAAAATTTGTTCATATAAAGCAGATGTTCTGTGTACTTTGTAAACAGTAACCATTTGTGGTGGGAAGGAGATGGCTTTGTACAAAAGGGTGGTTTCCTGGTTCCAAAGCTTTGCTGCTGGAGATGGTAAATAAATATTGTACTGCTTTGCTGTGTCTATTTCTTCTGCTCTATCTATATTTGAATATAAAGTTCTTGAGGAAAATTGTTGCTTTTCAAAATGTTATTTGGGACATGACTTGAGTTATAAGTTGGACAGAAGAAACTTCTGGTAAACAGCACTTCTTGGGGTGTAAACTTAAGACCAACCTGTGGACCAAAGCTTTAGGATGGGCAATAATCGGGCTTTGAAATTTGACTTTGTATGAAGTAGTACATTTTCAGGAACTCTGTTCAAACTAAGTGCACTAGTCAGGTGGATATAGTACAATTTGCAAAGTTAATTTGTGCAACTTTTGCATTTGGTTGCTCCTTTGAGCTTCTTTGAACTTGGGATCCCTTACATAGAAGATAAAGAGGTAGGAGGGAATAATCATCCTCCAGTTGGTGCCCCTCTGTCTAATCAGTGCCAGCTGGCACTCAGAGCGAACAACAGTAAATAACCCCCTGCCTGTATTGTTCTATCTATATTCCCTCTCCCTTTTCTTCACTTCCCCCTTCCTCCTACTAATTTCATCTTTTTTTGTTACTGGCTTTTTTAGTAGCCAAAAAGTGCCTTGGTGAGTCAGATAGGGAACTGGGTTGTTGTCATCACTTCTTCGGATAATAACTATTTTTACAGAGTGCTTTCTCACAGAGTATATCACCCTGTGCATGGTCTATTTCACAGAGTGGTCCAATGAGTATATTCATATTTTCATTAAAAAGTAATGTAGAAAATGCTTAATTTTATCATTTTTGTTATTCAAGAACTAAAGTGCTTTTTAGAGATTAATAATAATGATTTTAAAATATAAATCATTTGCCTATCATAAAAAAGCCACGAAGTGATCCACTGCCACAAGTTGTTATAAAATGATCATTTCTCGTGTGAAGCCCCTCTTTTCAGTACTGAGTTTCTAGAAATTGCTTTACAAAAGCAGAATTGCTACTTTTATTTCCTTTAACTTGATCTTGGCAAGTATTTCTGGAAAACTGATTTAGTTAGTTATGGCAGTAACAACTGACTTGGAGGCTCAACTTTTGGGTGAGCAGATGAGTGAAAAGTAAAGTGAAAGATTTGCCTGTATTTAATATTTGAGAAAATTTGGATGCAGAAATTCTTACCAAATATTACCAAACCAAATTCTACAATAGATTGAAAGGATCATACAACATGATCAAGTGGGATTTATTCTAGGGATTCAAGGATGGCTCAACATTTGGAAATCAATCCATATGAACACCACGTAGACAAAATGAAGGGTAAAATCATATGGTCATCACAATAGAAACAGAAAATGCTTTTGACAAAATTCAAGATCCATTTATGGTGAAAACCCAAGCAAAGTGCATGTAGAGGGAATGTACCTCAACATAATTAAAGCCATACATGACAAACTCCCAGTTAACATAATTAACAGTAAAAAGTTGAAAGCTTTTCCTCTGGGAACAAGACAAGGATGCCCATTCTTGCCACTTTATTCAACATAGTATTAGAAATCCTAGCCAGGGCAGTTAGGCCAGAGAAAGAAAAGGCAATCCAATTGGAGATCAGAAAGGAAGAAGTAAAACCGTCACTATTTGCAGATGACATATATAGATGGTCCCTGAGTTAAGATGATTTGACTTAAGATATTTTAACATTAGGGATGGTGTGAAAGGGATATTCAGTAGAAACCGGCTGGGCTAAGCTATGATGTTTGGTAAGTTAGGTGTATTAAGTGCATTTTCGACTTAGAACATTATCAACTTAAGGTGAGTTTATTGGGATGTAACTCCATCATGAGTCAAGGACCAACTGTATATAGAAAACACTAAAGATTCCAGCAAAAAATAGGACTAATAAATGAATTCATTGAAGTTGCAGGATAAAAAATCAACATACAGAAGTTTTATACACTAATAACAAACTGTCAGAAGAAATTAAGAAAATCTCATATTTGCATCAAAAAGAATAAAATACCTACGTATAACTGTAACCAGGGAAATGAAAGACCTGTACACTGAAAACGCCTAAGATGCTGGTGAAAGAAATTGAAGAAGGCGCAAATAAATGGACATAATTTTGTGCTCATGGATAGAATTAATGTTAAAATGTCTGTAATACCCAATGCATGTACAGATTCAGTGCTGTTCTTACCAAAATTCAAACAGCATTTTTCACAGAACTGGAACAAATCTAAAATGTATATGGAATTATAAAATAACTCAAATAGCCAAAGCAATCTTGAGAAAGAACAAAGTTGGAGATAGCACACTGTCTGGTTTCAAACTACATTACAAAACTATAATAATCAAAACAGTGTGGTTATGGTGTAAAAACATACATAGATGAATGGAACCAAATAGAAAGCCCAGAAATAAACCCACACATACATGGTCAATTAATTTATGACAAAAGACAGTCTCTTGTATTAGTGGGAAAACTGGACAGCCTGATGCAAAAGTATGAAACTAGCCATTATCTTACACCATACATAAAAATTAACTCAAAGTGAATTAAAGACTTGAATGTAAGACCTGGAAACATAAAACTAGAAGGGAACAGGCAGTAAACTCCTTGACATCAGTCTTGACATTGCATTTTTGGATGACTCCAAAAGCAAGGGCAACAAAAAGAGTGGGACTATATCAAACTAAACTGCACAGCAAAGGAAACCATCAAAATGAAAAGGCAGTCTACTGAATGGGAGAAAATTTTTGCCGATTACATATTCAATAAGGGGTTAATATCCAAAATATATAAATAACTTAATAGCAAAAAAACCCACAATTTGATTAAAAATGGACAGAGGACTTAGACTTTTTCTAAAGAAGGCCCACAGATGGCCAACGGGTACACTGAAAGGTTTTCAACATCATTAATTATCAGGGAAATGCAAATCAAAGCCACAATGAGATACTACTTCATACCTATTAGAATGTCTTATCAAAATGACAAGAAATAAGTGTTAAAGAAGATGTGGAGAAAGGGGAACCCTCATACACTGTTGGTGGGAATGTAATTTGATGCAGCCACTATGGAAAACAATATGGAGATACCTCAAAAAATTTAAAAATAGTATTACCGTATGATCTAGCTATTCCACTCTGGGTATTTGGAGGGGGGTGGGGGGAAGGCAACCAGAAAATACTAATTCAAAAAGATATATGTACCCATATGTTCATTGCAGCATTGTTTATAGTAGCCAAGGTATAGGAACAACCTAAGTGTCTACTGATGGATGAGTAGATAAGAAGATGTGGTATGTGTATACACACACCCAATGGAATAATACTCAGCCATAAAAAACAACAAGGAAATCTTGTCACAAAAATCAGTGATGTTTGTGACAACATGGATGGATCTTGAGGGTATTATGCTAAGTGAAATAAGTTAGAGAAAGACAAATATCCTCTGCTTTCATTTGTATGTACAATGTAAACTTGTAGACACAGAAGACAGATCGGTGGTTATCAGAGGGGAAAAGGGTTGGAGGATGGACAAAATGAGTGAAGGGGGGTCAATTATATGGTGACAGATGA